GCGACTTTTTCCGGCAACCATCACCTAGCTGGACATGGAATGACATGAAATGACTAAAAACACAATAATTGCTCGGGAGTGTTCGGTTAGATTTTGAGATGGCTAGGGAGTAAAAAGAGGCTAAAGTCACGTTCAACTTGACCGAGCATTTCTACTCGAAGCATGCTGAAACTTTACAGGCTTCTTACATATGATTTATCATAATTTTTAAGCTACTAATCTCGGCCAAAACATGCTTGGAACTATAAATTCGTTTTTAAGCCGATTAACTTCAAAAATCCGAATCTTTAATTCTACCCATGCAAAACTCGATTTCTTGACATGATAAATCATAAAATATCATGTATTTACTGGAAAAATTGGTTAGGATTCAATTACCTCTACCGAACTTGAAAAAAGGCACAAGGCCCTTTCTAGGCCCTTGTTCGGGACCTCTCGGCAAAGCCTCGGCTACGGCTTCTCTTGGCCAAGGTGGACGACTTCATTATGCTTCTTAGTCTCCCAAAAACATCATGGAATCAGGTTGGAGTAGGTGACCTTGGCTGGGACTAGGCTTAGCTCGGTGCTTGCTTACGTGCGTGCGTGTGTGTTCTTCTTCTCCGAGCTTATGTGCGTGAATAAACTTAATCTCTCTTAATTTATTTAACTCTCAGCTTAGTGAATTTCTTAAGTATATGCTGAACATCTTCACTCCAACTTCCATATATATGATCGGATGAAATAAGTGAAAAGAGTTAAAAATGTCTTAGCCAATGAACTAGTGCCATTTGCCTTGAATTTAAGGCCCTAGGTGGCTTCTTATCTGCTTACTCATCACTTCCTTAGCTTAGTCATCACATGGAACTTACTATGATGCCTTGTGTACAAGCAAGTTGGTGAAGCAAGTAGGTGACTCACCTTCAACTTGCACAATTCTTATATTTCTCACGGCAATTGCTAAAGAAATAAGCATGTATTATTAGTCATGAACTTGGTACTAACAATCACTTGAACTAATAGTGGACGGTCATGACTAAAGGCGTGCAAGACTTAGGCATAGTAACATACATTAGCTAGATGCTTAAGCTCATGGGCCTTAAATACTTAGAAAATTTTCCGAGTATATATATATATATATATATATATACATATATATATAATTTAACTTGGATTAATCTTAACCGAACTTATATAGTTTCGGTCGAAACTTGACTTCAAAAATTAATTCGAACATAATCTCGACTTAACCTTATTAATTACAAACTCATTTATTATATAATCAGATTGAAATTAAATCAAAAATTATTCGGTTACTGAAATAATTAAACCGAATACATATCGACTAAAAGTTGAACTTTAACTGAAACTGAATAATTGCCTTGAACTCAACTTTGACGATTAATCGAATATTCTCGATTTAATACATTAGCATTGGAATAATTAATCCCACCTTGCTAATGTCTATTTATTAATATAAACGGACTGAGATTAATTACGATCATTGACTCGGTTAATAAATAAAATTAACCATATATACTTTTGACTTAATGCCGAACTTGGAATTTAACTTAGCTGAATAACTTAATCTTGAGCATTGATATGATTATTTAAGGCTAGCTTATATTTCAAAGCTAGTATTTTCCTTATTAATAAAATTTGGGGCGTTACAATCCACCCTCCTTAAAATATTTCCGTCCTCGAAAACACTAAAACTGGAATGTACAAGCTTAACATAAAGCTTATACTTACCGATGACATAACTTGAGAATTCATTATTTTAATACCGAAGAGTAGACTTGATCTTAACTGGAGAGTCATCAATTCACAATTAAGTGAATTGTTGATTAATTCTGGCTGAGAATGGACACTTTTCTGAAATAAAGTGTTCCACTGATTATACATGACATTAAAAGTGTAATTTTTGAGCATACTGGTCATCACCTCCTGGCTGATTGCTGATCTTCGGTCTTGTAACACCCCACTTTGATTTAAAGAAATTCCGGACTTTCCAAAAATCAGTATAAAATTTTCGAAACTCATTTTCGAAATCATGGGCGTTATCCAACACTAAACATCAACCCAAGTCATATCTGGTTGTTCACATGGTTTTCGTTAACATTTCAGAACCCAACTCCACATTGTTATTTGCTAAACAATATAGCATGCACATGATATTCAATAGACAAAACCTTTATGAATATCCAAAACCAATCATTTGACCATAAGTTC